GCTACCGCATCAAGCTGATATCGGTCTTCTCGACCGAACGGCTCGTGAAACACCCACAAAAACATCAATCGCTGCCATACACGATCTCTTCCACATCTGCTTCAACTTCGTCGTTGGCTCACACTTTTCCGTCTCGGTCAACCTTGGCGTTCTTCCTATTTTTTGGTCAAGGTACGGTTTTCGATTTCTGCTATGGACGAAGTTATTCAATGGAAATTGTAATTTATTACCGACTTGATTCTTCCAATTGATGATGCAGGCCGGAAAAGGTCAACTGAGGCACCAGTGTTGTGATTTGCAAAGCTTCTAAGAGGTGGGTATTTTAACGACGACGGAATTGCTGTTGTCGGCGATGAGGTCGACAACATCGTAGATTTTCGGTGCTCCTCCTCGGTTGTTTCTCTTTCTTTTTCTCTTATAACCATGAAATCAAGTTTAACTAAGTTTTCCTAATTTTTTTTAGGATTGCTTCAATCGATTTAGAATAGGTCACAACAGGTGGAGATCAAATACGGGCTATAGAGATCCAAACCTAAATCGGGGAAGACGCTGCATCGACAGAGATGGTGAAACTTTTATCGGCCAAATATTTTCAGGTATGATCGATTTATTATTTACTCTTCACACTGATTTGTTGTTTTCTTTCCCTTTCTTGCTTTTCAGACTTGCTTCTCAATATCCTATTTTAAGGTATGTTTTCACTTACTAACAATATTTTCTTCATAAAAAATGGATGATCTGAGGATTATTCTTTTAATTTGGAACTGGAGATAGGTAAATTCAATATATAAAGAAATGTGCCCTGTAGCACATCAATAAACTTCAAATTTGTTTCATAATACTAAGGATATGGATAAAGAAACAATAATTATTGCATTGCACATAAGATAATGTTAATCATCCCCTGAAGGACCGTGAATTTGTTACATAATACTAAGCATATGGATAAACATACCTAATAATTGTTTTAATAGTAATCAGAATAATCAATGTACAATAATTATTACTCAAATACGCTTGGGATTATTACTCTTAACAGTTATTAAAGCTTCACAACATCATGATATACCCTCTACACTAATGTTGTCGTTGTTACTATCATTGCTCTTTAGGGGTCAAGGATTCTAATTAGATTATATGTCAACATGCATGTGCATACCTATAAACTTCTTTTGGATTCTACCTGGGAAACATTAATCATCCTGATAAATCACATGAAATTATTGTATTATTCAGGTCATTTTTCTCTGATGATCACAAAAGACCTGTTTGTGTTTTTTGAGCATTTGATAGTATGATGAATGCAACTAGGAGTAGTTAAGAGCATAATACATACATTGTCACCTAAAATTGGTTGATGCATTTTTCTTTCATATTATATACATATGTTTGAGAATTAATATCTCATTTATTTTGTGACAGCAACAGGTAGATCAGCAATGGGTACAGGAAAATATGAGCTTCAGTTAAGTTGTTGCCTTCTTCCGGAGGGCAAATCGGTAAATTATCACCACCTTATTCTTTTTATCCAAATTCAGAAATGTTTAGGTTAGAGTTTGGAAATGGTATGTTTAGTGGTATAGATCTCAAGAAAATCATGACTAATGAACAGCTGCACTACAGTCTCCACCGTTGATCCCACCTGAATCGACTGTAACTGTAGTGGTTCCTTTTTGCACTTGGTTGCCCTTCCGTTTCAGGTATATCTCTTTCTTCTCCCTTCTTAAAATTCTCCCTTTTAGGGGTTTGCCCACCAACTGTTTGCATATATGTTTATAGTTATCATCAGAAAAGCAGCAAAGTCTACTACCTGTCGATACTGTACTGATGCTAATTTTCCTTTTTGCACTTGGCTAATTAAACTGCATATACTGTACTGATGCTATCAGTCAATTCAATAGATTTTATACAACTGATTATATCAGCCAATTCAAATACAATGCAATTTTTTTTAAATAAAATCGACTGATTTTATCAATAAAAAATAACTCTTTTTTTATCATTAATAGTTTGTGACTGGACTGTCAATTTTGTTGAAAGACCAATTTGTCCCTGTACCCAAATATGCCACAGTACAGTAAAATGGGACAGTGTATACATTTTTTTTTGTTCAAATTAATTTGCCCCTGTACCCAAATATGCCACAGTACAGTAAAATGGGACAATGTATGCATTTTTTTTTTTGTTCAAAGTAATTGCAATTTTTTTAAAAAGTTGACTGATATTGGCAGTAAAAAAAATGCGTGGAATGAATGTTACAAGTGGAGAATTCAGTTTCGTATGAATTCTTTACGTTGGTGAAATTGATAGCTGCATGGTATGTCGGTCTTAGTCTTAGATAATGATGTGATATAACTTCATTGTGGAAAGTTGAACTGGATGGGAAGATGGATGGGGCTGTTGAGACCTGCTGTATAATCTCTTTCAATTTAGCAATGTACATTTTTTTATAGCATACTACAACACTTTGATATCTTTTCTTATTAACACATTGTCCTGTGAAAATTCTATCCAATTATTGGATTGTATTTTCAAAATTTTCTTATTATAACATTTATACTGTTTATAAATGGGCAAATCTCATACAATAGCAACGTAGTTTATTGTGGCTAACAACTTAGGCAATGTACTTTACTATGACACAAAATCAACACCTTCCGCCACCCGCAACGCGGGGGGAAACTTTCTAGTTATTATTATTATTATTATTATTATTATTATTCTATATATATATATATATTAAATCTAAAGGAAGTTAGCAATAGTAACTTTTATGTCTTTAGGTTTTTGCCACAAATGTTTAGTGAATTTGACACTTTTAGTCCTTAAAGTGAAAACTTTTACAATTTTGTGTTTTGATTAAGTTTTTGTGCTTTTAGGGTTTTGCCACAAATCTTTAGTAACTTTGACACTTTTCGTCCTTGCAGTGAAAAGTTTTATATTATGGTGTTTTTGCCACAAATCTTTGATGAAATTGACACTTTTCGTCCTTATAGTCAAAACTTTTACATTTTGACATAAAAAACACAAAAAACATCCTTTAGAATTTTGCCACCATATTTTCTCAACTTTGACAACTTTCACATTATTGCCACAACATTTTTGGATTTTCTCCACCAGTGTCCCTTCTTTTGGTTGTCGTACACTTTGGACATCTAATTTTAGGGGTTGTCGACTTTCTCTCCTATTTGCGGTGATTTACACTTTTAGCACGTATTTTTTTAAAGTTTGCCGATTTTCCCCATATTACCCCAAAAGCGGCGTAGCCGCGAGTACTTTGCTAGTTATTATTATTATTTGAAGTTATTTTAACAAGTGTTTAGTATTTTTATAAATAACATGTGTTTTTATTATTTAAGGTGTTGCATAATCCTTTTTTACGTGGACCATAACAAAATGTATTTTTAATGGCAAAATGAAATTACAGATTTATCAATCGTTGTAACCTAATTTGAGATAATTTCTAATTTGATTATGGAAGGCACACATCCTTTTTTTCATGACCATTCTTCTTTTAAGTCAATTTATTTTTATCAATTATTTAATAATTAAAACCTTTTTCGAACACTGAAACAATTAATTATTTTACAACTATAACTTCACAAAATATAAACATATCTAAACAATGTAGTCATTTTAGTTAGATTGTCTATCTGACTGTAATTGTTTTATTTCATATAACAAATTTTAAAATACTAATGCAACTTTCTATCATGTTAAGATGAAACATCGCAATTTTGCCAAGAACGACATTCTAAACAAAGGTGCACGGCTTGTATTATTTTTTCCTACTTAAATTTCAAGGAGGGCAAAATCGTAAATTTATGGGTTTTAGTAAATCTAAAAGCTTTGCGTTCCCTGGGAGCAATTTTGCTGGAGGCTTATCCTTTCCAGATTCCCCAACGAGTAAAATAAGGAGATGACCCACCCGTGATATGTTACTATATAGGAGTATAAGATATATCCGGTGGTAAAACCGGAGTGGACTTACCTACTAAACCGGATGACTTTTGGTTTTGGTAGATATTTATATGCTTTCAGGATTAGTCTTAATCATATTTAAACAAAATTTGGTAAATTGACAAATTCTTTTACAAGAACCCCAATTAAAATTTAAAATCATGATATGAAACCTTGCATGTAAAGAAACGCATTCATAGTTCTTATTTTTTTATTTTTATTAATAATACATTATGCAAAAATATGAAACATTGTTTTGAATTTACATCAAAATGAGCATATCTTAATACCTATAAGGCTCTCTTTGACGCTAATGAAAAACTAGTTTTTAGTTTACAAATGTGCTCAAATAAGATTATCAAAAAGTTTGTTTATAACATAAGCTACTACTATTATATACTTTTGTGGTTTCATTAACGCTTAATTGCAATAAAATCAGAAAATAAGATAGTTCATAACTTCAACTTATACACGCCACAGAGAGCATAAATCGTTTTTATAACCATTTCAGCTAATCTTTAGTATTATCATGTTTTTTTTAAAGATTTTACAAAGTCTTTCGTGTATCTCTTTGTTGTTTTCAAATTTTGAAATTTGTGATAGTTATATCTCATGCCGTTTAATAAGCAAAGTCGAGAATTGTAATAGATATACTTGTTATGTATTACTAAGCAAGAGAAGCACGAAAATGGAAATATGAATTCATGAGGGCCAAAACAACAGAACTTTAAATGAATTAAGAGATTGTACAAAATAAGTTGTTATTTTCAAGATATGATATCTTTAAGTATTAAAGGAAACTATTTATTAAATAATTTCATTATAACTTCGTATAGTGATTCCATTTTAGGTATTTTTATGAGTATTCCTATTTTAAAAAATTAAAAAATATATATTATAATAATGACTCAGCAGTATTATTACAGTAATTTTAGAAAAAAAAAAAAGGGGGAGAGAGATTGAGAGAATATGAGTGGTGACAGCCATGATTTGGAAGGATCAAAACCTTTCTCTCTCTTCACAGCTGGCACTTGATTTACACACACAACCCCCTCTCTTACATTTAAAACCCTTTCCTCTCCAAATTAATATGTGAGATTCATTCATTCATTCATTCATTTACACACACACACACCCACCCACCATTGGCCATTGGGATTTTAATGGTCGATCACTGCATATCAACGACAATGGTTGCGTCTCCTTCTCATGCCTGTGTAGAAAAGAAGTATTGGTGGCTAACCAACAAGAAGGTAATATATTGTTATTATTACGATATTCCTCTGTTTCAACACGATATAACAAATTATGTCAACGTTTCTACTTGATTTATATGTTCGATTTCATCTCCAGATCGTTGATAAGTATGTGAAAGACGCAAGAACCCTGATTTCGTCTCAGCAACAAACGGATATTGAAGCGGCGCTTAATCTTCTTGATGCAGCGCTTGCTTTATCGCCAAGGTTTGAACTGGCTCTCGAGTTGAAAGCCAGATCTCTTCTCTATCTTAGAAGATACAAAGAAGTCGCTGATATGCTTCAAGATTACATCCCTAGCCTGAAAATGTCTTCCGATGATTCATCAACATCCTCTTCTTCCTCGTCTTCGGTTTCATCCGACAACAACTCCCAATCACTATCGAGAGAGCGAGTCAAGTTATTGTCCTCCGATGGTGGCTCGCCGGACCATGCTGAAACGTCGTTCAAGTGTTTCTCCGTCTCCGATTTTGAAGAAGAAGGTCATGGCTGGCCTCGGTAAAAACTGCAATAAAGAAGGTCAATGGAGGTAATTTCAACGCCATCTCTTTTGCATTCAATTCCAGTTTTCCTTTTCACTAATATCGATACTAGTCCAGAGATTGGCTTCCAAATTACGCTAAACCACCATCAACAATTATTGAATTTCCATGGTTTTCAACCAAACTTTATTTTTTAAACATCGAAAAAGTCGCATCTGTTTGTTTAATATTATTATATGGTAATGGGAGGCTAAAATTGGTATTTGGTAGTGAGTTGTAACTCAGTTGAGTAATTGCTATGATGATATGATCTCAGGTACTTGGTTCTTGGTCAAGCATGTTGTCACCTTGGCCTAATGGAAGACGCCATGGCCCTTCTTCAGACCGGAAAACGCCTTGCCTCAGCCGCATTCCGACGTGAAAGCATCTGCTGGTCAGATGACAGCTTTTCCTTCTCCGCCGAGATATTCACCGACGGCTACCAGCCACAGACACCACCAAGAACAGAGTCCGAGAGCATCTGTCACCTCCTAAGTCACGTCAAACTCCTCGTACGTCGCAAAACCGCAGCAATCGCCGCCCTAGAAGCCGGTCTATATAACGAAGCCGTCAGACATTTCTCGAAAATAGTCGACGGTAGACGTGGAGCCCCCCTCAAGGGTTCCTGGCGGAGTGCTACATGCATCGTGCCTCCGCCTACCAATCTTGTGGTCGGATCGCTGAAGCCATAGCCGACTGTAATCGGACCTTAGCATTAGATCCATCTTGTATCGAAGCCCTAAGCACGAGAGCTTCACTTTTCGAGTCCATTCATTGTCTTCCAGATTCTCTTCACGATCTTGAACATCTGAAACTATTATACAATTCCATACTCCGTGATCGGAAACTACCTGGTCCGGCATGGAAGCGTCAAAACGTGCGATACCGTGAAATTCCAGGTAAACTCTGTTCTCTGGGGTCCAAGAGTCAAGAACTGAAGCACAGGATTGCTTCAGGGGAAACAGGGAATGTGGATTACCATTCTTTGATCGGTTTGAGACGTGGTTGTTCCAGATCGGAGTTGGAGAGAGCTCATTTGCTACTCACCCTGCGTCACAAACCAGATAAATCCAATAGTTTCATCGATAGGTGCGAGTTTGCTGATGAACTTGATATAGAGTCCATTAGAGATCGAGCAAAAATGTCTGCGTTGTTGTTATACAGATTGATTCAAAGAGGGTATAACAATGTGATGGGGATAATTTTAGATGAAGAAGTTGCAGAGAAAGACAGGAAGAAGGCTTCCTCTGCTGCTGCAGCATTACAACAACAGTATGATCCATCATCATCAGTAGTTGATTCAATTAAAATGGAGGAAAACAAGAAATCAGGATCCGTATATCAAGGGGTGTTCTGTAGAGACCTTGCAACGGTTGGGAATCTGTTGTCACAAGCGGGATTTAACCGTCCAATTCCGGTAAAATATGAAGGCTTGAGCTGTTAGGATTTAAATAAAAACAAATAATCAAACCGGTTAATGTATAAATTGTGGTTGTGGGAAGACATATTATCAAAGGGAGGGAAGACGAAACAAATTCAAATAAACGTGCTTGGTGGAAGTCATTTTTGTACAAAATGGGAGAAGGGAAAGGAAGGGGACTCTTAATTAATTTACGTTTTACAAAAAGAAAGAAAAAAAAAAAAGGTTGGAAATTTTTGTCTGTTTGTAGTTTCCTTTTTATTATTACTATTACTTCTTTCTACCAGCAAGTGTTTATTACTTTTTGGGTTTTGGTTACATACACACGTAGTACATGTGGAGCCCGTGAGAAAGCATTAATAAAGTTGGATGATGGATGGATGCATGGTAATGAGGTGAGAAAAAGTATGATGGTGAATTTGGTTTGTCTTGTGTGTCTTTTTATGTGGGCACTGTTTCCTTCCCTAGCTGTTGTCTGTCAGTCTCAGGCTTTATTCGATACGTACCCATGCTGACATTTTCAGTCACAGATTGATGGTGGAGATATTAATTTGGATCAACCAACACACACTTCAATTATTATTGTTCTTCTTTAGTTTTTTACATAACATTTCTAGGCAGGAAACCATATTAAAAAAAAACTTGATCAAAGCCGTTTAAATTAGGGAAATGATTTAATGAGTGCAATAACGTTTTTATTTTGTTATATTTAGACAATGATCATATTTGAATACATTTTACACGTTTTATGGTCAATTATGTATAAATTTTCTTTTTATCTAAATACAAACAAAATAAAAAATTTATTACTCTCCAAAGTCATTTTCCCAAAATCACGCAGCAAAGTGATTTACAGATTTTTTTTATTTATTTAAAGACACCTTTTGAAACTTTTATTGGTTAAACAAAGCTAGAAACGGTTTGGTTTTTGCTCATTAACCATTATGATTCAATTTTGAACATGTACTAGTGTTTTTAATGGTAGAGTTCATTTCTATTTACCATAAAAACTTTAAGATCTGTTAAAAACCATAAATTAAAACGTTACCAAATTAGTTGATCAAAATCAAATAATATGGTTGTTGAAGCATTAAGTGACCCTCGGCAACTAAAAGGATTTTGGGAGATGCGAAGAGTTGAAGCTTTGGAGAGGTTGATGTGAAAAGTTGTCTATTTTGGGTATGACGAAGAGTTTTATGAAGACCGAAGATAATGAAGGCTTAGTGAAGACTTGTTGTTTTGTCTCTTAAAGATTCGAGGAGTTAGTATAATCATTGTGTGTTTGGTTGGTTCTGTTAGATTAGGCATGGTAAGCATGACCTCCTATCCTCCTTATCTTTTGTATCGACTAGTTAAGGAAATGTACTTTCTCTTGCTATAAATAGATGGTCATGTTGATCGATCAAATGTGTTTGGATATCCATCATTCTTGTAATCGTTATTGAAATACAAGTCTCCTTATCTTCATATTATACTTTTCTTGTTCATCATTTACTAACTTGTGTTTGCATGCAAACCTTGTTACGATTCAACAAGTATCTTTAACTTGCTTACATTTATTGTTGTATTTTGTTGCTATATTTTTATCTTAAATTCCGCAATCTTATTATTGTTGAGCTAACCAAAGATCCACGAGATTAACTTAATATTCCGCACAATAATCTCTTAAACATAAGTTCTTCTCTCAACAATTGGTATCAAAGCCATAATGATTGCTTTTTAACTTTTCAAAATCGTTGTAATCTTTTGAAAAACTCTGATCTAAAAGGCTTTCTATACCACTTAGCTCATCTCTTTTAAAACTTAAGGAAAATGACACAACTTTACTCTTTAAATGTATCTAACAGTGTTGGAGGTTCAAATCGAGCTCCAATACTGTAACATCCCAAAAATCATAATAATTTAAAATTTTTAAAATCAATCATTAACCATCACTGTTTACAAAAAGTGTCATTGTCTCAAAAGTAAAGTCATATCAGAGTGTCCCGAAAATCCATATCATGAAAATAGGAAGATGTGCACGATCAGACCTTCGCTTTTCCATGATCCTCAGAAGTACCTGAAACAATAAACTAAAATTGTAAGCCAAAATTTATTGAGGTCTACCAAAGCACAACCATACCACATAACAAACAAAGCATGCAAGTATGAGCCTTCAGCCTGAATAGACCCCCCTCGCAGGACCTACAACCTATCTGGACCGCTCTACGGGCCTTCAGCCTGACTGGACCGCCTCGCAGGGCCTACAACCTATCCGGACTGCCCCGGGTGTCTTGGCCTTCAGTGCAAAGAAGGACTGCCTCAACCCTTCCACAATATGTCGACATATGTAACAGATAACATAAACACAGAACCAACAAATACAGATAATCATGCAGATCTACTAACCAGTCATATACTAGCATAATACTATCCTATACGCAGGATAAATAATCTAGTGGGCCGACATTGGTGCCTTCTGTTGGGTTTTGATACGAAATATAAGTTTGTTTTTCACAAAAACCGGCAACGGAAGACTTTAAAAATAACAAGTTTATTTTTAGTTCATAACAAAACCAAACCATCATGGATCCATTTATAGAGGTTAGAATGAAATAAAAACAACCATAGGATGTTTTAGAGATAACCTTTGAAGCCTTTGAACCCACTTGGTTTTGGGGTGTTGATGAAGATGTAAAGATCAAAGAACATGATCTTCTCTACAAGTATCCACCATCAAGATTAAGACACTTGAAATGCTAGTTCCTTCTTGTATAAAATATTTCTTAAGCCTTTAAGTGTTTAACTAAAATAAGCACTAAAAGAGAAGCACTTTAAGCCACCAAAAGACTTGAATAATCTTCAAAAGAATGAGAGCTCCAAGCCCTTTCATGCCCACGGTTTTAAGAGAGAAAAAGAGAAGAAGAAGAAGAAGAAGAAGAAGAAGAAGAAGAAGAAGTGATTCACTTAGCCAAAATGCAAGTCTCATGCATCTCTTATATAGTCCATGCAAGGTAAGGCCTAACCATTAAAATACTCTAAAGTAATGGTAGCCTTTAGAAGCATGGGAGACAAAGCATGGAGACAAAAACATGGTCACAAAAGCATGGACAACCTCCATGATTATAATATTTCGGCCATTCCTTTAAAGATAAGAAAGATTCTTTAACTATTTATAAACTCAAAGTTTATAAAATATAAAATTTGTCTTTAGGTAAAAGACAAAAAAATCCAACTAGTCCAAAAGGTTGTGCATAACTTATTAATTCATACCATATGAAATAATAATTAGTCATACTCTCTTATAATTATTATTTTCACAAAACAATAATTATTTCCTAATTAAATACAAGAATTGATATTATTTATTAATAATCATATTAATAATAAATATATAAAATGTGCCAATTTGATAAAGGTGTGACCCTATAGGATCATATATTATTAGCAATATCACTCCATCATGATTCTTGGGCATATAGATTCATTTAGTATTTTCAATATTTAGTCTTTAAAATTTAATACATTTTATTGTTTCTTAAAAAATTAATTTATTAAAGTCTAGGATCCAAGTAACGAAACAAGTAAATGGTTATGTGACATTTATCTCATAAACTTAATCAAACTCGATAGGTAGCAATTACCAATTGCATACGATATGTAACTCCTAGATTATGGGATCCTAAACAACTGTTGCTTAGCTTAGCATGTTTATCCCATCTATTCCTCAGACCTCTCATGCTTAGGTGATCTTTATCACATAAGATTCAGATCAAGTCATCCTACTTGAAACAACTTGTAGCATTGTAACTAACCAGTAACAAGGTGACCCTTTAGAAACCAGAAACTACAAAACTACCCCAAACATCAAAATCCAATCCTAGGCCCATGTGACCCCGTGACACTAAAACCCTCAAATGATAACGAGTGTTCTTCAAAAGGACGGCAATGACTTGCATTTTTAGAAAACGTTTTATATATTTTTTACAATTATAGTTTATAAAAACATGGTCTCATGAATATTGAATGCATCCAACAATTCATGTACCCTTTTGTAAAATTCATATCACTTGTTATGAGGTTCTTTTGGTGCCAAATAAAACTTCATTTTCTTTGCCATTAACCACGATTAATTATACACTAAAATCTGGTATTTTAGAGTTTAGTCGTAGCTCGGTTTTAAAAACCGGTAATAGTCTTAATAAAACTTTATTATATACTTAAGACTTGGAGTTTTGGATGAGTTATAAAATCACTATTTTAAATCTCCTTTTAACAATCAAAAACTTATGATTTCATGAATTTATAGAATAAACTCATTTTATTTTATAAACTCAATTTTATGCATCTTATGATAAAAGTCATATTTTGATAAACCAAAACTTGGGTGATGATACTTATGTTTTAAATCTTATTTAGGATGCATAAAACATAATATCAACATGTTGCGTTATGTTAAAACACCAATATCATATATTAAGTTTCGATGCAAAAAAAATCACTAGTTTTATTATTTGCCGTTATAACGCTATAAACCGATTGTAGTCTTTTTAATAAAAACTCATTATTTATTATAAAGACATGGAGTTTATATAATGTTTAAACATCTTTTAAACCATTTCAAATATTTTAAAGTTGGGTATTTATAAGTTTTACAATAAAACTATTTTCAACAAAAAATTGAGTTTTAACCGGTAAACCGGTAAAACGTTTTTATAAATATTCATTTATAAACATCTTATGTTATCTTTTAAATATTTTTTACTCAAACTCCAAGTGATATCATCTTATTAAAAAAATATTATTTGACATGTAAAAACCATTTTTATACATAAAACATAACATATATTTAACATAAAATAAACATCACAAACATGCATTATAATGTGTATAAACCAAACCATGTCTACTAATAATTTTTGTGAGCCATCACAACAATTATTAAGTCTTTCCTAAAGGACTTAAGAGACAATTCAAAAGGTCTTCAAGCTCCCACTTGCCAAGTCAACTCTTGCTTGCAAATGGACTTCAAATCTTTCATGTTGTGAAAGTTGCAACGCTTAAACCATTAAGACTATAATTAAGCCCAAAACCAAAAGTAGAAGCTTGTGGTTGGGATTATGGTCTTAAATGGTTAAGTCATCTTCAAGGAGGTCATTTCTTCATCTTGTTGCATTTAAAAGGAACACAACGAGTCTAACTAATTTATTACAACAAATCAACAAATGAAAAATTACCTATTTATCTATTACATCTTATGAATAAATAAATATCAACCAAACACAACACAAATGCCCAAATGGCTTGTTTATACACAACAACATATCAAATATTATAACAAACAACTCTTTGTTTTTTCTAAGGCAACTTTTATATAACCAAAATGTATATATAAAAATAAACAATTTTAACCAAGAAGTTGCCAAAGAAGACAAATATGGATTTTTCTTAACCAAAAGAAATTCATGCTTGTTTTCTAAAAACCAAAGATTATCAAACATAAAAAATCATTCTAACATATAAAAGATGGCTCTAATACCACTGTTGGGTTTTGATACGAAATATAAGTTTGTTTTTCACAAAAACCGGCAACGGAAGAATTTAAAAATAACAAGTTTATTTTTAGTTTATAACAAAACCAAACCATCATGTATCTATTTATAGAGGTTAGAATGAAATAAAAACAAACATATGATGTTTTAGAGATAACCTTTGAAGCCTTTGAACCCACTTGGTTTGGGGGTGTTGATGAGATGTAAAGATCAAAGAACATGATCTTCTGTAAAAGTATCCACCATCAAGATTAAGGCACTTGGAATGATAGTTCCTTCTTGTATAAAGTTCTTCTTAAGCCTTTAAGTGTTTAACTAAATTAGCACTAAAATAAAAGCACTTTAAGCCACCAAAAGACTTGAATAATGTTCAAAAGAATGAGAACTCCAAGCCCTTTCATGCCCGCGGTTTTAAGAGAGAAAAAGAGAAGAAGAAGAAGTGCTTCACTTAGCCAAAATGCAAGCCTCATGCATCTCTTATATAGTCCATGCAAGGTAAGGCCTAACCATTAAAATACTCTAAAGTAATGGTAGCCTTTAGAAGCATGAGATACAAAGCATGAAGACAAAAGCATGGTCACAAAAGCATGGACAAACTCCATGATTATAATATTTCGGCCATTCCTTTAAAGATAATAAAGATTATTTAATTTTTTATAAACTCAACATTTATAAAATATAAACTTTGTCTTTAGGTAAAAGACAAAAGAATCCAACTAGTCCAAAAGGTTGTGCATAACTTATTAATTCATACCATATGAAATAATAACTAGTTATACTCTCTTATAATTATTATTTTCACAAAACAATAATTATTCCCTAATTAAATATAAGAATTGATATTATCTATTAATAATCATATTAATAATAAATATACAAAATGTGTCAACT